TGAGCTTACGCAGCTGTCCTCATTAGAGACACATCACCCTCCAATGGTACAGAGTAAAAGAAAAGAAGAATGAAAAAAAATCACTTATAAAAGGTTAATGTAAATTTGTAATAAGTGTTGTCAAATAATTAACATTTCTGTTTCCAAGTAGAGTCACACAAAAAGTAAAATATACTTAGGGAAATGTGCTACGACAAAAATTTAGCGCACCATATATTGCTCATAAAATCTTGATATTTTTATCCAACTTGGTTGGTTTACCTAACCCACTTGTAAATTCTCCTGGTATCTCATTGTTCTGTGACGATCGTTTTATTTTATTTAAAAAGACATATATATCTTTTTATATGGGTGCTGGTGCCTATCTCCTGCTAACATTCCAGGAGAGAGGTGGGAGTCACCCTGGACAGCTTGCCAGTCTGCCGCAAGGCAACACAGAGACAGACGGGACAAACACCCATGCACACACACACACACGTTTGTTTTGCTATCTTTGTGGGGACTTTCCATTGACTTCCATTCATTTCTACAGCCTAAACCTTACCTTTACCCTTTTCCTAACCCTAACCAAAACTCAATTCATACCTTAGCCCTAAATCTGACCCCTGACCCAAAAACAGGGTTTCCCCTCGTGGGGACCAGGCTCCGGTCCCCACGAGGAGCAATTGGTCCCCACAACGTAATATATGTCAGGAAAATCGTCCCCACAAGGTATTACAAACAAACGCACACACCCACACACACACACACACACATACACACACAGACACACATACACACACAGACACACACCTAGGGAGAATTTGGAGAGACCAATTAACTGTCTGTCTGTCTATCTAATCTATAATTGCTTCTTTGTGTCCTTTGGAGTTTCTGTGCTGATTAATTTTTTTGCGAAGTGGAGATGTTGCTTTGCAGCAAGAAGGTTCTGGGTTTGATTCCCGACCCGGGGTCTTTCTGCATTGGAGTTTGTATGTTCTCCTTGTGCATGCATGGGTTTTCTCCGGGTACTCCGGTTTCCTCCCACAGTCCAAAAACATGACTGTCAGGTGAATTGTTCTGTCTAAATTGTGTGTGAATTGTGAATGTGTGTGTGCATGGTTGTTTGTCCTGGCCAGGGTGAGCCCGCTTCTTGCCCGGAACGTTAGCTGGAGATGGGCACCAGCAACCCTCCCGACCCCACTAGGGACAAGGGTGTAAAGAAAATGGATGGATAATAATGATAAATACATTTATTTATTTTATTATTATTGGGGCCTTGCAACAGAGTTTCGCTTAATATGTAAATATTAAACTGAATGACAATAAAGTCTGTATATCTGTCTGTCTTTTTTATAGTTTCTCATTTAGTATGATCTACAAATGCAAAGAGGTTCCGCTAAACACACAGCTAAAAACTACTCAAGTGAGTAGTTGAGCCAATAAAGGTTGGCTTAAGAGGAAGTTTTGGAATACGCAGAAATAAATTCAGAAATCTGATATTTGGAGCATGACACTAAACCTGCTTATTGTTGCTAAGCAAGCCCTCCTAACATCTGATTGGCCAATAGTCAGAGACATCTTGCTCGTTATTGGCTACTTTTTTGTCAACATTTGGAGTTTTTTGTGCTCTGTGTAAAGTTATTTAAACAATGACAGAAAACAGCGGACGTTTACCAGTTTAATGTCGGCCGTTCTTGTATTTTGTTTTTAGGCAATAGACCCAAGGCTTTCAGTCGTAATGATTTGAGTTCAAATTTTCGTACGAACTACTGATTTTATAAGGAAGTACCGTAAATAAGTTGCTGACTCTGATTTATCAAATCAAAATGCAAATGTTGACATTATTTTGGAAGTGTTGACCGGAAGTTAAGCAGCGGCTGTTCACCAAATTGACGTGGACACAAGGGAGAGGCGCAGGGTGAGGTCTGTTGTAGTCGAGAAAATAATGGAGGAAATGAGGGAAGTTAAATGAGTGAAGCTTGTGATTTCATACCGGTTAAAAGCTTTATCCTACCGCTTTGACAGCTTCCTGTTGAGCTGCGGGCCTTTAAGTCTTCCTGATGTGTTAGCTGTTAGCTTCATGCCGCTACACCTGTGTCCGGCCAGCCGGCTTCTTTGTCTCACTTCATTATCATGCTCTGTTTGTCTGCCTGAACTGCACTACTTTGACTGGCTGCTTCCACAGGGACAAGTCTATCCTAATAGAGCCGAACAAATCAGCATGGAGTGAGACCTCTTTCCTTCTAGAAATGCATTATATCCACGTTGGATGCGTCCCGTTCACTATCATTATTTCATACAAATAGACGAGCTTGTCTTGCAAATGGCAGCCCTGAGATCTAAAGCTACATCCAGCGGGGACAGCTCCCTGAGGGATGGGAAGAGCAGCGCGGGCTGTCCCGCAGAAGCAGCAGCGAACAGTCGGATATACAGCCTGGATGAGCTGGAGACCATGGCCACTGTGGGTAAGTTTACATGTAGACACAACAGGGGAGGAAGGGCACGGAAATCCCACTCTGGAGAAGTTATTTTATTTAAAAGGGAAGTAAAATTCCACTTAGACGATATCAATTGGCATTGTTACAATGCCAAGTTGCAATTGGTATTGGAGGAAAAATGCGAATTTAGGCATTTTTCCTCCAATGCCTAAATTGGAGGAAAA